CCCCCCCCCAATCCCAACGTCCATCCCCAACCCTAGGCCACCGTCTGTGGTGTAGCAGTCAGTTGCTTCACCCTTGCACACAGAAGACGTGAGTTTGAAATTCCGTTTGGGGAAGGTTTGCCCAAATATGTAAGGTCGAAGCATCCCGCCTCCTAAATCGTCGAAAGTGAGTCGATGGTGACCTACAGTTACTATTCGTATTACTGTTTAATCTGGTTGATGGTTTCGGAGAATGATTTTATCAGTTCAATCATGCCTTTTTGCCCTCACCCAGACTAATCGCCTCCCACCCCCACCCTCACCCGCCACCTCCCCAACACACACACACACACACCCACCCCCACCCCTAACCGCCACCTCCCCACCACGCACACACACAACTATCTGTGGTCGAGTTGTAGCCTGTTGCTATCAACAAATCACACAACAGTCCCAATGTCACTATTCTGTTAACTGTATACTCGGCCTGTCAATGAGGCTATTGAAGAATTAAGAGTGTGCACGCATGGTTAGGCTATTGAAGATTTCAGAGTGCGTACGCGTGATTGGCTTTAGTCTTTGAGAGTTGTATACGTTGGCTTATCTACTTGGCTTATGGTGCGAGTGGTGGAATGTTCTTCGGCGACTCTATGTGGATTTTGTGGGTGCGCAATGTGCATTGTATGAATATGTGTGCGGGGGTGGTGGGGATGGACACAGAGAGAAATAGAAAGAAAAAGAGACAGGAGAGAGAAGGAGAGAGACAGGAGATAGAGGGGGAAGGGGGGGGGGAGGCGGTAAGGACGACCAGGGTCGTGGAAAAGATTCCTTTAGACCAGTATATTACGTGACCTTGACATGTTGCTTATTGCGTGGATGTCCTAGTTATAGGACACAGGGAGAGCGTGAACAGGAAAGTTTTAGTTTAGTAAGAGTTTTACGGCCTTCACAACTGTATTAAGTCATATTATATTATATGAGCGCGCGAAACACAAGTTGTTAGCATTCACAACAGTTCATAGCACGGTTTGGTTTTGGTCAAAGATCAGGTTAAGCAGTTTAAAATTTCACGGTTTAAAAAATCAATATTAAAATGACAATTTATATTACATTAAAATAATGGTATTTACTTATATTTTTTTTGTGTGTAAAGGCCTTATAAAATCGAGAATTCTGTTGGGATCAATGACGTGCTTGCAATTGTGCGCATTTGAAATATTATTTCCTTCGGGTCTCTCCAAAGTCTAGACATTCTGTTCATAAGCGTCAAATGATGAAATATGTGTGGCATCCGACGCACAAATAGGAAAGTTTGTCACACTTTAGAGAGGGTGGTTGGAGGGCGACACATGTAGGTCCTACTTCTTTACTACCTGTCTGTTGTTTCTGTCTGTCAGTGTAGGTGATTAGAGAGCGCCACTGGTAATCCCGAGGTACTTCTTTTCTCTCTCTCTCTCTCTCTCTCTCTCTCTCTCTCTCTCTCTCTCTCTCTCTCTCTCTCTCTCTCTCTCTCTCTTTCCATGCTCTTTTCATGTGGGTGGTTGGAGGGCGACATAAGTAGGGTCTACTTCTCTCTTCCTGCAGTTTATGTCTGTGTGGGAGGTAGGAGAGCGCCTCTGGTATGTCCTACTTCTTTTCTCTCCCTCTGTTGTTTCTGTCCGAGTGGGCGGATGGAGTGCATCACTGAGTGGTAGGCCCTACTTCTTTTCTACTCGTCTGTTGTTTCTATCTGCCAATGTCCCCATTGCAGACACTGTGACTACCACGAGGAGACCGTTGAACATCTTCTCCTTCACTGCCCAAACCTGGCAGTTCTTCGACGCAAGCTCCTACACACACCTACAGACTTACAAAGCCTGCTCTACTCTGGCGTTGACCAGATGACAAGGACATGTGGTTACTTGAGGGAGGCATTGCGCTGCCAAGAGCGAAATGCTCGCAGCTAAAGGGATTTGAAAACAACAACAACAACAACAACAACAACAACATCTGTCAATGTGGGCGGTTCGAGGGTTCAACTTGTAGGTCGTCCCTACTTCTTTTGTTTTTCTCTTTGGTTTCTCTTTGTTTGTCTTACTTTTCTCCTCGGCCAGGTCGGAGATGGATTTTATTTCGGAGGTCCCACCTCCCAAATCACATTACAGTGTTGCAAGGGGCATTCGGACGGACAATTATCGGTTTCTTCAATTTCATTACCTGAACGAGCGCTTGATTTCACCATGATGCCTTACATAATATGACAAAGTAGACTTCCCAAAGAAACTACAGTTGAACCAACTTTAGCAGTCACCACTCCTTAATGGTCATCTGTGGCAACAGCAACTGGTCTTTGAGGCCCTCGCGCTTGTCCTGTATTTGCAACCTGTCTACAGTAGTCATTGTCCAATGCGGCCACGGTCAGTCTCTTTCGCGACAAGTCAGCCTCAAAATCTACCTATAGCAGTACTTTGCTACAACAGTTTTCGATAAAACTGTCCTCAGACACAGTGTATACATTCAATCAATACAAAGGGCCTCACATGATGAAGGAAATGAAACAGAAAGATAAGTTTCAGATTTCAGGTTTTAATCTATCTGTTGATTTGGTCAGTCTAGTTCACTACCTTGGAATTACAAAATTCTTTCTGCCATTTAGGTCGTTTTGAGCTCAATAAGACCATGATGTCAGAAAGCAAATGTTCTATCTGCTGTATCAAAATTGTAAAATTATTTAGAGTCAAGATTTTCAAAGAATTGCATTTGGAAAACATGACATGTGAAACTCATTTTTTTTACAGACAAATTTTTTAAAACTAGGTACACCTACTGAGCACATAAATAACTAATTCTACGGTAGCGAGTAAGTGACCATAATACACCCCCTGTTCATAGCAGCCAACTGTCTACATTGGTCACTGTTCTTGGTAATCTCGAGTGACCATTATGGACAGGATCAACAGTATGTAATTTTAGCACAAATTCAGTTGATATACTGGATGGCAAGAAATAAGTGAAGACCAATTCCGATATGTACAAAATATAGATTTAATTACTCATAGTAGTAGTAGTATGCGTATAGAATTTCACACAACAGGCTGGTGGGTTGATTCTCAGATGTCCAGTACAGGTCATAGGTGAAGAAACTTCTTTTACATTCTACCAGCAATCACAATGGGAAGATGATTTATTGTAAATATCGTCAACGTTTTACGCCTCCATCAACATGGAGTTTCAGATCATTTGGGAGACAGGCTGTATTGGCCCTGTCTATCAGGATGGCCAACCCAGCTGTGAGGGATGCAACGTCACAGCAGACAGTCAGAGAACTCAATAGAAAAAAGAGATTTCCCTGAAGGGAAATCGAACCCATGTCTTCTGCGTGCATTAGCAAACACCTTAATTCATAACTGCCAACTTTTCTTAATTTAAAAAACCCAGACTTTCCGTACATTGAGGGACAAGATTATGGGCATTGGACAAGTAACCCAGCTCCAAAACCTTCACACACACTTTTTTGCATGCTATTACGTCAAATTATTTCAAGCAGACCTGCAACAATAGTGTCAGAAATGTTTTCTACAGGTCTCTCCAATTGACTTATGGGCCTTTTTTTTTTTATTATCGTTCAAAAATCCTGTTTTGAAAGTTCATAACTTTACTTCAGGAACGGAAAGTCTTTAAGAAGCAACACTAGAAAACAGAAAATAGTATTTTCCGAAACAAAAAATGTTCTTATGCACTCAGACCCTCAAAAACATACTGAATATGATTGTTACCATTTACATACTGGTTGGCAGCTATGCTAGTAGTTGCACCACAGAGGTGGGTGAGAAGAGAGAGCAAATTTGTGACAGTATAAATGTAGGAAATAATAGATATTATAAATGTTAATAAATGTACACAGCAGCATTTATAACATGACATTACACTTACAGCAATCATAAAATCTCAGGTACACATTACATACACTCCTCTACAACTGTCAGGTACAGTAGATGTTTAAATATTTTATACATGTTCATGTATTCCTTTTCCATACAAACTGAAACTTTTAGAAAGTGAGCAGTATAAGAGTTTTAAATCTGAGTGCTTTAACACTTGCTTGAATTTAAACAAATCTAGTACATCTACAAATGTAACTCTAACCTCTGTTTAATCATCTTTCAATGACTCAAAAATACTCATGCCCGCTGACTTGCAAACAAGAACATTTGAGACAAGTGCATTATCTTTTTCTTTTATTCTATTTTGCTATCAAATAATGCAGTTCTCAATGATAAGCTATTCTGAATGGACCTTGCTCTCTTCTCTTTTGAACAAATATACTGGACAATGATTCTCTTTTTTATATATTTTAATTTAAACAGGACATAAATCCATTAGACCTAGAGCTCAGAAAAAAGTCATCTATATTGAAACAGTAGACCACCAGAAAAAATATAGATCAACTCACACACATCACAACTCTTTCTTCTTCTCTTTCTCTCTCACTCTCTCTCTCTCTCTCTCTCTCTTAACGCACAGGAAAATCATTGTCAAAATTTTGGTGGTACTTTCACACAAAAAAAAACACAAACACAGTCAAATCGAAAACTGGGATCAATGGGAAAGCACCTAGACCAGGAAAGAAATTATTAATTTGTCTTTTACAAAGCTTGTCTATTTCTGTGAACAATGTACAAATGGCAAGCTATTATGGGGATCTTTGAAACACATTTTTTTAAAATTTAGTAGCTAAATTGTCATGAAAGCACAGTTCAAATATTTTTTTTAATGTATAAATGATCTTTCTAATGACTGTACATCCTATTCCAATTACCTTATCCTATTCCAACTTCAGATGATCAATCATTGACATTTATAGAATATTTGAATCAATAGAATTCTCACGCAAAAATTTGACTTTCTATTAAATTAAGGACATTCATGAACAGAAAACTAGAATCCTTTCATGGACAAAATGAGGAAGAAAGGGAATGTGTGCGTGTGTGTGTGTGTGTGTGAAAGAGAAAGAGAGAGAGAGAAAGGGAGGGGGGGGGGGGGGGGAGACAGAAAGAAAAAGGAAATGGTATTGTATATTCGAACAAACTCCAGAACAACTCGATTCACATTTTCCTTCTGTGACTAACACTTAGCTTGCTGGGGTCAACGCTGATTAGAAAATCCTGGAGACAAAAAAATACGAGCATAAGAGTTTTGAATTATAATTTCGACTATAATATGTAATATCTGTGGTATCGCGGTGAATTCAAATGCTCATCAAAATAATTAAATCGAAGTAACAGACATTTTTCTGCTCGTTGGGCAATTTTTGTCTATTTATTTTTGCTGAACATCTTTAAATGTCCATTTAAAAACACATCAATTTTTGTGAAAATGTTACGGAAAGACCCTGATCAACAGAACAAAAAATGTAAATTTCCAGTTTTCAAGGACACTACAGCTTTGGAAGTCGCCATAATTTAGCATGCATTTTCTCGCAACTTTTACTTCTCATAGCGGCTGAACCCCACCTCCTTCAGCTACAAATATCTTGACATCTATTCAATATAGATGGATATGGTTTTCATTAAAAGCAAGATATGTGAACAAGTTTTAGGATTATGTAAATAATTTCATATGCTCAAAAATTGAAGAGTCCCTGATTCTAACATGTAATGACACCTATTATCAGCCCGTTAAGATATCGATAAGCACAAAAAAAGATGGGAGTTCAGTATTTCTCTAGCAAAAACAATAAGAGCTTTTCATTCTTTGCCACAATTTTTTCAAGTTTAAAGGAAACCAAATGAACTGAGTTCCTTCTGTTTCATTTAAACTTGAAAATAATGCCTTCTTATTTTGGTTATAACTGAAAACATTTCATTGTTTTAGCGAGAAAAATACTTCATCTAAAATAAAACTTCCTCCAAAAAATAAACGACTCTTTTTTTTTTCTCTAAATAACCGATAGTATTGTTAAAATCATAAGACTTCCAAAACTGATTATCTCAATAGATTAAGGAACTCGTGTTAGGATTTACTGAGTGGCTTCGGTGAACATAAGAACATCAAAGCAACAATAGTTATTTAATGTTAGAAGAAAAAGTAAGACTTCTGAACAGACACAACAAATGGAGGGGTAAGAAGTAAAGAAGAAAGACCTACAAGTCGCACCCTCCAACCACCCACCTCAAACCTGTGTAGTTACTGTCACCTCAAAATTTATAGAGCCAGAAAGAACATGGCCACATTTCACCATAAACAGATTGCGATAATAATGAGTAACTGTAAATAATTGTACATTTGAGAGGCAGCGTGGTGGAATCAGGCTCTTGTCAAAATAATCAAAGTGAAGAAACTTGCATTTTTCTGCATGTTTCTGAATTTTTATCAATTTTTCGTTTTCTGGCTGAACACCTTTCATGCCCATTAAAGAACTCATTTCTGAGCGGATTTTTCTGAAAAACGTTGATAAAAGGCACAAAAAATGTAAATTTTCAGTTACCACGGACTCTTAAGCTAAGGAAAGAAATAATCTTTGGTGGCCTTTTTCTCACTAATTTTACCTCTGAAAACAAGTGACCCCCACCTCCTTCTTTCGCAAATATCTCGACTTGTATTCAAGATAAATGGATATTTTTTCCATCCCAATAAAGACAAGTGAACAGGCTTTAAGATGATACCAATAACTTTTCATGCCCAAAATTTGACGAGAGCCTGATTCCACCACGTTGCTTCACATTTACAGAATCTGATCAATCAGGAGGAGGACTGCTTCAACCCTACCTGATAAGGTCAACCTGAGCGGGGTGAGATAAAGTAACGAAATACTCGACAAATAATTTCACGTTATCCTCATGCTGTTTGTTTTAGTAAGTGTTTTACAGCGCTCACAACTGCATAAGGTCATATATGAGCGTGCGGTACACATCAAATATTTTCATTTTAGTGGGAATTCATTTAGAATTTTGCTCGGGTGGCGGCCGAAGCCTAATCTTACCAACCCTAAGATCAGGGTTGTGGCTGAAAGACAGCAATAAAAAGGAGCCAAGGAGTAGCAATGGAAAGGCTGCAAAAAGAGGCAGGAGCCCAGAGGAGGGGGCAAAAGGGGGGGTGTGGGGGGGGGGGGGGGTTAAGGTAGAAAGTGGAGACAAAAACAGATGACAGAGGATGGTTAGAGAACAGGAAAGGAGCTGAACGGAGAAGATTTTAGAGAAGAAAATTTTCGATTGCTGTATGCCAATATGAAAAGGCGCTGGAAGGCAACAAAAGTAGAATAAGAAGATAAAAGAAACGGGTCCCACTCACATGCAGTGTTCATCTCCTAGTAGGCCCTGGATGAGCCGTGGTTGGAGCTGGTGTCGTGTAGTCTGGGGTGGTTGTCGTACTGTCTCCCGTACACCGAGTTGTAGTCATTGTCTGGAACATACACATACCAAAATGTTACTTCACATTCTCATGACGTATGAGGAAAGCCATATCAATAATAATGATGCTAATAATAATTATAATGATAATGATAATAATACTAATAATAATAATGACAATGACAATAACAATAACAATTCAACAATAATGCCTACACTAAAAAATGATGATGACCAATACATCTGCAGAGGAGGATATTTCTCAAACAAAATAGAAGAATTAGAAGAATGAAAGGCTAATACGACTTGTAGCTTCTGCCGTGACCAATTCAATAAGACCAATTTTGGCAAATAACAGTTTGCAACATTTTGAGCATTCAATAGCTCCACTTCCACTTTTGTGTTCATACATACCAAAATGTTACCTCACATTCCAAAGAAATATGAAGAGGGCTAACTCTTTCCTCCTCCTCCTCCTCCTCCTCCTCCTCCACTATCAGCAAACTGTACTTGTGTAGCAAATACAAAATATCTCTCTCCCCTCTCCCTTCTCTCTCCCCCTCTCTCTCTTCGTTACTCACCCTTGTGACTGGCAGCGTACTGGCTCTCCCTCTCCCCCTCCTCCTCCTCCTCCTCTATCAGCGCATTGTACCTATGCAGCAGGTTCAATTTATCTCTATCCCCCTCTCCCCTCCCTCTCTCCCTTCCCCCTCCCCTCACTCACCCTTTTGACTGGCAGCATACTGGCTCTCCCTCTCCCCCTCCTCTATCAGCCCGTTGTCCTTATGCAGCAGGTATAACTTATCTCTCTCCCCCTTCTTCCCTCCCTCTCTCCCTCCCTCCTCCCCTACCCCCCTCACTCACCCTTGTGACTGGCAGCGTACTGACTCTCCCTCTCCTCCTCCTCCTCTATCAGCGCGTTGTACTTATGCAGCAGGTTCAACTTATCTCTCTCCCCTCCCTCTCTCCCTCCCCCCCTCACTCACCCTTGTGACTGGCAGCGTACTGGCTCTCCCTCTCCTCCTCCTCCTCTATCAGTGCATTGTACTTATGCAGCAGGTATAACTTATCTCTCTCCCCCCTCTTCCCTCACTCTCTCCATCCCTCCTCCCCTACCCCCTTCACTCACCCTTGTGACTGGCGGCGTACTGACTCTCCCTCTTCTCCTCTTCTATCAGCACGTTGTACTTGTGCAGCAGGTTCAACTTATCTCTCTCCCCCCTCTCCCCTCCCTCCCCCCCTCACTCACCCTTGTGACTGGCAGCGTACTGACTCTCCCTCTCCTCCTCCTCCTCTATCAGCGCATTGTACTTATGCAGCAGGTACAACTTCCGCACAGGAACCAGCAGCAACATGACCGTCGCGTTGACCAACAGTCCGACCGCTACAGCCGGGTCCCGCACAGAGTAGGCGCCCAATGTGGCCACACTACACCAGATAACCCAGCAGGGGATGGAGATGACGGTGATGCCCAGAATCCAGCGGGACTCGCGGTGGTTGGTGGTCCTGGAAGGGGGTGGAGAGAACAGGGAACAATAAAAAAGGTTTTTTTTGTGTTTTTTTGGTTGTAAAATCAGTTTATCAGTCTTTAACAACCTCTGATGAATAGTCATTGATTAAAAATATGTTACAACCCCC